GCATTGTGATGATAAGGCATAATGAGAAACATGAAGAAATGACATATTTTTATGTAAGACTTGAAATTGCTCTAGGAAACAATTATTCCTTGTTGTGCTAATATTTGTTTTTGATAAAAATGACAGCCATATCTAGACATATGTGTTAAATGAGTCACAAAACGGCAGTTTCTAATATAACAGTTCCAATGGCAAAGGCCTCCTGAGTGCCTGAGGAGAAGGTATGTAGTGTTTCCACTTCTTACAGGAGGTTTAACAGCACACTAATATCCTGTTCCTCCCAGAGCTGGAATAAATAAAAATTCTTTCTGTAGATAGAGGAAAAACAGCTATTACTAAGCCAAATAGTTCCACGAGACATAGAATTTGACTGTTGAACAATGGCTTCTTATGGTTTATGTCTCTTGATGGATTTTCTGATGTCTGAAATGGTTTGAGTTTTGAGGCATTTATGGTATCTTCTTCATATAAGGGTTTACGGGTTTTACTTATATAGCCCCCTTCAGTTTAGGGGCTAATAAGTTTTTTTCTTTTCTTTCTTTTTCAGTAGATACGTAGGAACTAAATACCTTTGCTCCCTTTCCGGACTGTTTGGTTGTAACTGGCCAACAGGTTCTTGGGACAAGGACAACTTGGAAAAATAGACAATGAAGTACATGAACCTTCCAGGCCATGAAAGAGAATGTTTACTTTACGTTTGATTTTGGCAGGTTTGAAACGCACTGTCAAGATTTTCTGGTGGCTTTAGCACTCACTAAGGTAGCTGAGCAACTATATCTGAAGCAATTGCTATGGTTTTAGTGGGATCCAGCAAACAGGCAGTTCAATTCAAACTGCTTTATTGGCGTGAGTAGAATTGCAAGCATTGCCAAAAGGCATGGTGCCATTGAGGATTTGAGAGATTCAACATGTCAAAATGATTTTGATCTTAAAATAACTATCATTTGATTCTTTTTCATTCTGCAATGATTAGAACTGGAGAAGGTTTTGATCTCTGATCCTAACCCTAGAGGTTGGGATAAATGGTCTTGGTAATGCCCGCATAACGTTGTGTCAAACTATGGACTGTGGAATAAGCTGTGCAATAAGGAAAAGCTCAGTCTTTTCATCTAAAAGCAGACAAAAGGCAAACAATAAGGCTCCTTCCAGTGTCTACAGAGAGTCTAGAAAATAGAAATTGGCTTTAGGGCACAAAGCATAAATCCCCCCCAAGGTCTTTTCTAAACCTGAAAGAAAAGCAAAATCCTTGCAATCTGTTAATTTGCAAGTAATTGCTGTAATAGAAAAGTGCTCAGTTAGCTGAAATCTATGGACACTATTTAGAATGATAATGCAAAGAGTTAAATCCTCTTTTCCTTCCGTTCAATATTAGAACAACATCAAACAATGCCCTAGCAAATGTATGTAAATTATAAACAGGCTGTGTTGTACTTCTCAGAAAGATTTCAGTGTTGTGTACTGGAAAATTTTAAGCTGATAAAGACTAAAGGGCTGCACTATTTTAAGCTCTCTTATCCAGTTAGCTGACTAAAAGTATTTTATAGCTAGAACAGAGCATCTGGGCTGGTACACATAGCATTCATCAGTGACTGTAAATCTGTGAAAAAGAGCAGGGAAACAACAAGCTTGGAATAGACTCTGTCAAGCCCACAGCATCTGAGGAATTTGTAGTTAGAAAACCTCACTGATGCTCAGAAAGCATAAATATCTGCCAGTCCTTCAAGATTTTTCTATGCGAGCATGTGCTGTTTTTCAGAAGTTCCTATGTGCCTTCTAAAAAAAAGTGGAAGATGGAACATACTGTGCTGAACAGTAAAGCACAGAAGCTAGCATTGAAAGGAGGAGGAAAACAATTCAGTCAGGGACACTTCTGTTATCTGCCAGCTTGTCATAGTTTGCACATAAAACAAACATTAAACACATTTGTTTTCTTTATTTCTCTTGAAGTTTTAATATCAATACAAGGTGACTACTACCCTACGCTCTCATCTGAAACCTCAGAAAGGGTTGCTGAGTTTATAAAGGCCTGTCAGCCAGTGCCAGGTCACCTACTGACAGACGTAGCTTTTAATTAACCTGGCCTATGTCTCGCAGCCGTTGTAAAAGGCTCACAGTGTGATAACGTTTGCCTCAGTTTCCAGATTATGAATTAAGATAGTGGAAACCCTCAAATTTACCACTTCAGTATTCTTTTCCGTAAAGAACCCCAATATAGCACTTAAAAAATATTACTTTCACACTTCATAGAGGATTTTTAACAAGAATTGATATTTACTAAAATAAACTGAGGAATTTTAAAACAGATCTGTGTTCACAGAATAGGGATCTGAATTAAAGCAGACCTTAACTGAACATACTTCTCCCCCGAAAGTACAATAAAATACAATCCTTTTTTTTTAACATCAAAATGTGTTATGAACTGCTCAGTTATATTCATAACAAAAGTAACACAAAGATATAAAGACAGCGGTATGAATCAGTGTTTTGGGATGGTTGTGAAATTCTGGATCTCTATTTGCATGGGTTTTTATTTTAAAATTCCAAATACTTTTATAACTGCACTTGAGTAGAATATAGCACTCTTGAGCCCATAAAATCTTAATTTTCAGAGAAAGGTATCCAGTGGAAGACGCTGAAGTAAAAGAGTGCTGGAAGCAATAATACTGTAAGCTGAAAGTGCTGTAAAATCTCTGCTTTTGTCTTGAAAGCAACTGGATTTAAGCAGAAGTGAAACACGATGTTGTATAGAAAGCATGAAAACCACTTTGGGGGTTCTTTTAACTTGCCTCCTTTGTTGACACTTCACTGGAAACATGTGTTCTGGCCTCTGTTTTCTGGACACTTCACCGTGTGAATCTTTTGGGAAAACTCTTGCTTTCAAGATATGCCAGTGTTTCCCCTCCCGAGCTCTTCCCAGGGAGCAAGGCAGAGAGGATGGGATGGGGAGAGGCAGGAACGCTGCGGCATTGCCCCGCTCCAAGCGGAGGGCAGCCCTTCCAGCCTTGCCCAAACCATGGCTGTCAGCTAGGCAAGAGCACCTCCAGAAATTGCTGCAATTTGTGGCTGGGGCTGGCACTAGCTCCTCGCAGCAGCCTGGGATTTGGGAGGTGCAGCTCAGAGCCTAACCCAGGCTCTGCAGTGAGAACAGCTGCGGGCCATTTCTTTGGAGGCTTGCCATCTCCACTTTTCCATCCAACCACAGGGTAGAGCTGAGCCCAGAGGGGCTCCTCGTGTGTGTAAATATAGACATATTAGGTTGCCTCCTACTCCCCCACCCTGCATACCTAGTTTAGATTAGACAGTGAGCTTTGGGAACAGAGACAACTGTTTTCTTCCAAATCTATGCCCAAGCACGCTCATAACTTTTTTTTTTAAGGCTACATTTTATCAATATGAATAGTACCGATAGCCAGATCAGGCTACAGAATGTTGTTCTCCTCTCTGTTTTCCTCTCTGGAAGAATCATGTTACTTTAGATGCTAAAACTAGCAGGGATGGTCTAACAGTGGTAGTAGAAGTTTTCTGTTGGCTGGTACTTAAATCTTATTGGGTAAAGGCTAGACTGTAATTAGCTTTTCATTAAGGATAGTGACTTTCTACCTTTCTGCTTATACCAGTCCTGTCCAGGAGCCAGCCCAGTTACAGCTTCTGCAGGGACCTGTTTTGGGCTAGTGCTTCTCTAGTCAAGTGTGTAGCAAAAGCTCCTGGAGATGGCAATGGTGGTTCTGCCCCAGTCTAATGAGCTGCTGAGCCCTCTGGGATAGGCACTCCCTGGGTCTGGGAGTATTTCTGGGTTTGCTGCTTTTTGCTGGGACACTTCAGTTCTGGTGATTTCCCACTGTAGCCTGGTGTCAACCGATACCAGCTTCTCTATCTGCAATTTTTCGATTGACTGTGTGGTGCAGAGGCTTCCCTGCAGTGTTCCCAGCCTTATCAGCCAAAGGGGTAGATACCTGAGCTTGGATCTCTCACAGGAGAGCAGCAGAGCAGAGTTAAATATTGCTTCTTTCCCAAGTGCAAAACAACCTGAGGGGGGTGGCTGCACTGAGCTGTCAGGCTGCTAATGTGTGTGGGTTGGCTTTTCAACTTGGTAAGGGCAGTGGGAGGGGGAAGATATCACAACAAAACTTCTCTAAGCCTTGAGAGCTTAGCCCTCGCACAGGGCTTTTTCTTCTCGTGTTGTCCATATGCATATTCAAGGGCTGGAGAGAGAATTAGTCATTTTTTGGCAGTTTTCTTCTGATCTAAGTATTATGATAAAGAGTAACAGGCAATACCCTTTGTAAAACGCAGCCAGAGTAATAATGTACTACTAAGCAACGTGAGACTGTTTTAGTCTGGTGTATCTGGAACGTATCCATCAGCTTTACAGCGCTGTCAGCACCGCACCACTTGCACTGAGGGGAGGTAGCCATGGCAGCATAGGTAAACGGAGAAGGGCAGACACGGAGCAGGCTGTCCTATGATCAAAATCAGGGGCTACACGAAATTGAAAGAGGCTCATTGTCTGCATGTTTACCCTAGGGTGTTTGCTTTTAAAGTCGGGCGTGCTGATAGCGATTAAATTTTCCCCACCCAATTGTAGCAGCCGCTGCCAATCTCATTAAACACATATCTCCTATCTTTGGCCTGCTGTGGAGTGGGAGGACTGACTCCCACTCTGTCTGATCTGGTTACTTAGTAATTCCAATTCCTGCCTGATCTCTGCTCATTATGCAAATAAAAGGCTTGGAGATCTTTTATCAAAACTGCTTTTTATTCTTTTAGGATGTAGAATTAAATATTACAAGTGAAGCAAACATAGGTACCTGAGAGAGAATGAGGATAGAGCTGCATTAGGTGATAAGAAAACTACCTGGGGAGTTGAGGTATGCATAAAATAGTTTGCTCCTATGGCTGAGAGGGATGTGGGTGTTTCCCAGCCCTATCTTCTGAAGGACCTGTTGCTATCAGCTGAAGATTTTGCTATTCACATATCCTATCCAGAATTCATATCAGCCCTCTCACAGACTTCTAAAAGGCTTTTCTTTGCTCAGCTTCTACAGATGCACAAGTTTGTTTAACGTCAGGTATGGGAAGAATTTATGCTTTCTACAGGCTATATGAGAGACCCTTTCCTAAACAATGGTCCCCAAACTGTAGATTGTAGCAGGCGGGATCAAAAACCTAGAAGGGGAAAGGCAAGCAAGGCTGTTTTTGGGAACTGCAGTTTGAATGTAAAATGCAAGCTGGGCCAGAGAGGCTTGGAGAATATCTGTTCCATTAGGTTTCAAGCTGATGCTATTTGTGGGCCTTATCTTGAATATCAGCTGCAAGATGCACTGATATGCTACTTTTGTGTGCGTACGTGTGTGTGTGCACACATGTCGAATAGAAGTAAGGCACAGGAGATAATGAAAAGACTGAACTAACTTCAGAAACAACCTCTGCTACTTGCTGTAGGGATGAACTTGTTCAGATGTTTTGTTTGTTACTTTCTGCTCTAGCTTGACGTACATTGCCATTTCCATACATTTCCTGGTATGGGAATTGGAAAGTGATTTCTATTGTGTTTGCAGGAAAGGGAATGAAGCTACTTGTGAAATGGCTTGTGATATGGCTGTTAAATTCACTTTTTTGGCACTTATGCTATTTTGTTATGTTCTGGATTAATTGCTCCTAGCATTAATGCAGCTTGGTAAGAGCTATGGAAAGCTGAAGTTTTTTAATTGAAAGTATCCAAAGTTATTTCATCAAAGGAATTCTTGCCGGCCAAACTCCATATGAATGTGGCTTTGTCTAGTTTTGCTCCTAAATAGCCCAGACCTTGGAGTCAATGGAATTCATTGAGCTCTATGTAAATGAGGCTGTAGTAAATGACTAATGCTTATTATCTGCATAGACCTGAGATGAGATGAGGTGGGGGGAATGATTGTATCTGACTGATAACAGCTACCCATCAGGGAACACCCTGGACTTCGTTTCTATAAAGATACAAGTACAAATATATTATTACAATGCTACAAAGCCAGAGGAAGGAATTCTTCTCCCTGCTCTTTCTTAATGGCACTCAGGTCTTTATCCGTCTTCTTCAAGCCAGGAGCAATTTTTGCAACAATCTGTCTTCCTGAGGGATTAAGCTAGTGTCAGATAAAGGGGAGGCAAAACTGTTAATTGCAGGCAAATCAGTTGGGGTAAAAATGCAATTAGAAGAGACATTGTGAGAATCTGCAAATCCCAGGCACAGTTTCTTTGTACCAAGATTTTCCATGCTTTGATCCATGTGTTCAGACCTGCCAAGCTGCCTGCCTGGTAAAACCTGCAACAAAGAGGGAATGTATAAGCAATATTTGGTGAAGACATGGAAAACCTCTCAGGCATCTAGTGTCGCACTACACATTATCCACCTGCCAGTGCATTTGTTCGAGGTTCCTTTGTACACCTATGCCTGGATTCTTTGTAAAGGTAAATACTTTCCAGCAGTTGATAAGAACTATTGTATGAAAAAGACTAGTTATAAACAAACTTTCAGCTAAGACTAATGCAGGGCAGAAACAGTTAGATGGCAGACCTGGATTAATCATTTGTTCATCTGAAAGAAAATCTGATGCCTGAAAGGATGGGGTTCATTACTAGAATAGGAGTTCCACAAGCAGTATTCCTATATGAAAAACATGATTCAGAAAGGAGCCTATGTAACTCCATTAAAGGCAGGATTCCTTCAGTTCTAGAGTTTATACTCAGATTTCGACCTGTGCTTCTCAGGAAGTGTGCTCATCACCTCAGCCATCCTTTTGAAATCATCTAATACAAAATAAAAAAAAAAATCTATTTAAATTTGTAAAGAGAGAACTCTCTATCTGAAATAAAATGTAGACAAGGAAATCTCTTAGAATACACTAAAATTAGCTTATACAGACAAATCAATGAAGCTTTCGTGTCTGTTAGACCCTTCTCTCCCCTTTCTAGTATTCACTAAGGTATTCATATTTTGTTACCGTGATCTGGAGATTGAATATAGACTTTCTGCTATGGAGAAATTGATGAAAAGAAAATTTGCCTGCATATATACTCATTTCCAAGCTCTTGGGACTCTGGCTCCCTCAGATTCAAATACGTTAGAATTTAAGCTGTGGAGTGCAAACCAAGTTTTGATGTTGAATTCAATATCTATGCCTGTGATGCTTCCACTGTTAGGAAATGTAAATGTCACAGCATTTGCTATTTCATCTACAACCTCCAGCCTTACTGTTTAGGCTTGTAACTAACTAAATCTGGAGCAAAAGAGTCGACTGAGTTTATATCTACCTAATCAAAGATGAAACATTTAATTTGGCTAGAACTTAATAAACACTGTGGTACATGGAACAGAACATCCAAAAAGAAACTTTAGTTCTGATGCCCCTTCTCTCTCTAAAGCCTAGAATGAGATATTAACATGGTATTTGTCTTCTTTTGTATGAAATGACAGAGATTTTGTGAATAATCTGTGCCTCTTTCTCCATGTCTTTTCACACATGTGCGTACACACATATATATTTTTTAAAAACTTAAATGTAACTTACATGATTTCTGAATAGAACCTGCCTTAAACTAGTGGTTTTCATTTTTTAAAGTATTGCTGCAAGTGACATAGTATCTCTAGGCTAGGTTGGTTGAGTTGCATCTGTTTTGCCAAGTCCTTTTTCAGGCTTCTACAATCCAGACTATAGTCAAAATAGTGACTGCAGCTCATTCAGTCTGCAGTCTTGCTAGTCTACAAGAGGTCACACTAGCTTAAGAAGTAGAGGTGCAGTAGCATGAATTGTTTTTAGCTTCCATAAAGTTTACCCAGTCTACATAAATGGTGCTGTAGCTCAGCTGCTGCTGGTGCTTGTTCGTGAGATTTCATGCCTGGCTAATGCTGATGGAAGTTCATGCTCCTGGGTGCTGGGAGTCCATTCTCTCACCAAAAAGTTCTCTGTGCAGGCATTCCCATCCTTTTTATTGAGCCAATATTAGTGCCTGTACAGTTAACTGATTGAACCTGCTTGCTGATCCATCTGAAGATTAATTAAAAGTCTGTATCGGTTGAAGGGAGGGTGGTGTGCCCCTTCTTACAGCAAAGTGATCTGAAAGCATTAGTACAATCATACCCTGAGCTAGTTTTAGGGTGACTCATGCAACACTATCTTTGGCCTCTGTGTGTTCAAACCCAAAATGTTAGGGGTATCGTGGCATGGCAAGAATAAAATCCCAACTTCTGTGGTACAGATGATGCTGGGATTCTGGGTTGTGCTGTTTCTGCAATCATCTTGACTTATATTAAAAAGAAGCAACGAATTTCTTTGGCTGGTGCTATAGTAACTAAGTTTTAGATGCCTCTCCCCTTGAATGCAATCCATAACATTGGATATTGTGTATCTAGGATTGATTTATAGAATACAAAAGGTGCTACAGATGATGGTGGAAAGCAAAAAGAAGCAACGAATTTCTTTGGCTGGTGCTATAGTAACTAAGTTTTAGATGCCTCTCCCCTTGAATGCAATCCATAACATTGGATATTGTGTATCTAGGATTGATTTATAGAATACAAAAGGTGCTACAGATGATGGTGGAAAGCCTAACTGGGGCAGTTTATTTCCAGCTGTCTGTTCTATCCTTCTGTAGGAGTTTCTAGTCTCCAGGACAGAGCTCATAACGGCTATGTGTACCTGAACGAAAGCTGCCTCAGAACATAACCTGGCATCGCAACTTAGACTCGTAATGGCTCCGACTCCTGTTTGCAGGCAGATTGAGCTGCTGCTGCTGCTAAAAAAGGTTCCCACCACCATCTGTCCATCCTGTTCTTGGACAAAAGGTTGGCAGGGAGAGCTGAAGAGGACATTTATTTGCTTCTAAATTGCCCCACTTGGCGCTGATAACGGCTGCAGACTCTGGCAGCTGAGGGGGCCTATTGCAGGGGGATTGCTGTGGGTGGGGGAAATGTTGGGCAATTCCAGATGTCCCTGTGAGCTGGCTCAGCTAAACTGCCCTAAGAAAAAAAGCTGGAGCCTTGATATGTCAGATCATACAGCGTAGTGGCTAAGGTGCAAGCACACGTTCCTGTTTGCCAGCATTGCTTTGGGAAGGCGACCTTTTGGCTGCAATGCAGAACAAACAGGGTTTGGGAGTGGGAGAGGGAAGAGGTAAGTTCTGCATCTACTACAGCAAGAGTCAGCAAAGGTTTGTCTGTGGCATCTCTAGGTGTCTCAGAACAGCTCCAAAGTAGCTGCCATACAGAGCAGGTAGCTACCTAAAGTTGCCAGTGTCAAACTACCTAAAACTCACCGTTAGGGAAACGCAGAGGAAGAGGAAAATCTAAACGCTGCCATTCCTGTGTCTTACTTGGGCTAAGAGGTTTCAAGACAACAATTTGGGACCCCATAGCCTAATTTCTGTCTTTATTTTGAGATTGTTCCTTGCCTTTAAGGCCCCAGGAGAGGATTACTTGTTTCAATAATCCACTTTGCTGCTCATAAACAATATAATCAGACTCTTCTAAGTTAGAGTAAAACCAAAGCAGTGTGGCTTGGTAGTATCTTGCAAAATGTATACAGAAAATTTGATCTCTCTATTTTCATTTTTGCAGTAATAAAAGCTCATAAACTGTAAAAATAGGATTTAAATAAAGCATAAAACTTTTTATGTTGGTTCACACTGTTTACACTGGGATATGTAGTGTATAAATTCTTACTAATTAACAACAGAGAAAATACTTAGTTTGTGTATATTAGAACGAAAGTAGCACAAGAGTTTCTGTGGTTAAGATTAAGAAAGCCAGTGACAGTGTTTCTGTACCTCTCTGTTTCAACTCCTTGGTTCTTTGGAGTAGTATTTAATTTCACATCTGAACCTGACCTAATTGATTTCATGGAAAAAAGGGAGCTATCAAAGTCTTATACTTAAAAAAAAAAAACCTTCTGAACTGAAGATGTGTGAAATGGACTAGACTGAATTCTTAACCCTACAGCCTTTTATCTCTTAGTGGAAATAATGCACAAGAGCAAAATTTGCAGTAAAAAGAAAGTGTTCAAGCTTGCTTGTTTTAGAAATAACTTATAAAGGCCAA